TCTCGATTTTTTTCACTTTGATGTTCCTTCCCTCTGTGAAACCTGAAGTCAACTAAAGGGTCTGCCATTTGATATATTAATAATAATAATCATTTTCACACTTTTGCTATTTTTAACAGGTAACGCCAAAACCACTAGTGATACATTTTTGACAAATGTTTCACATACTACAAAACCAGGGAAAAGCTTCAAAGTGAAAGCTCTTTTAGCGCAATAGGAAACTTTCAGTATCGGAGAAAATTAAGTGCGCGTTGCAAAGTTGTGCAATAGAGTAACTTCAAACAGGAGACGGAAACAATTAGAAAACTACCCTATTGAAGTAAGTGAATCACAAAATTAATGCAACTGCATAATTTCCATGGAAAGAACCTTTAAAGTCATCACTCCCGTTTAATTTTATGAACAACACCACTACGATAGGCGTAGTAACTAAACAGGCGGAAATTTTTTGAGATTTAACAAATGCAGAAGTTAAGAACTTAATCATAGTTTTAAAATTCACGCCTAAACACTAACCGATAGCTATTCGGTAATTTTATTCATCAATAGATCACTTGAAAATATATCTGAAAATATGCTAATCAACAGTAATAAAAGTCGATTGTGTAATCGATTTGACAAAACTTGCCACAATTATGGCGGAAAGTAAGACATCATATGAATTGCTCCTATAGGAGAGAGAGAGAGAGTAAGGATCGGATGTTATACGAAGATGTATTAAACTGGGAAAAATATTATCTTATTATGAGTGGATCAGAATTTTAAAGAGCATATATACAGATTTAGGTGGACAACACAACTCGTTAGTTGAAAACAATTACTGGTGGCTTATCTATAGGGAGTTAATGTGGGGTCATTTGAGGGCCACGGAGAGCCACAACAAGACGAGCATTGTATTGAACTAGTTTAACAATAAAATAATTAGGATCTGGGTTACCTCAATTGCTTGAATAAATCAATAAACTCTGAAACAGAATAGGTTTAATTGGTATATTTGCCTTTCCCACTTTCACTTCTCAGTACACATCGTAGAAACAACGATGATAAACGCAATGAAAATTTAGCATCCATCCTATGAGACAAAACTTGTCATAGCACATAGAAATAAAAAATTCTTTTTGACGTAATAACGAGTGTTTTGCATTCAACTACTTTACCATTTTAGAAAAGGGCGTATATCATTGAATTTAGGCAACAATTAAATTATACGAAAAAATGCAGCCAATGACCGGTAGATCCTGAAAAGCAACAATAAAGGCAGTCCCCCCAAGAGAGGCAAAACACGGATCTCCCAGGGAATAAGCCAAAGTCTCAGTCAATGAGAATGAAGAAACACACTTCTAGCAGAAACATTAGACGAGGAGATTAAGAAACGATTGAGGATACTAATATTTTAAAATTAAACAAACAGTTTTAAAAGGAGACACCCACCGAGTCATACTGGTCATAGGGAGATGAATACGACCTACTCAACCAGACGAAATAAAAGACACCAGTGATTTGAAATAGTTTGCTAAAGCTTGTGCCTCACCCTTGTAAAACGAGAAACTTCACAACTCTCGAGACAGTGGGTAGTGAACTTACCATGCAAGCAGAAATTTACCACGTTCTTCATATACTACTTCCGAAACTAAAACCAAGCATGAACAAGTTAGACATCCTTTAAGCGACCAACCATCTACTATTAAAAAACAATGCATTAAATAGTGGTTGGCCCCACTCATTCTAATCTAACATAAGGTTGGCCATGAAATATCAACGCCAGAGCATGAGACTAAATTGGGGTGTAGGATTCCCACCTTAGCAGCCTTTATTAAACCACTTTAATATTCCCAGTACTTATATCATTTCTCACTATGAAAAATTCTACTTTATGCATTTTCTTTATTACCGCAGTTAGAAATTAGCTATTGCGCTTCAGTAACGTATGGTTACTTACTAAATAAACTCATAAAAGTACAGATATTAAGAATGACTTGTGGGAATTTTTACTAGGGCTCGCATTCCCATCCCATCAATTTTGAATACATATTAAGATCAGCATGTCAAGAACAAATAAAATGCTCTCTGTACTAAGTTTGCTGACGCTATTTTTCAGTTGATTTTGTCATTTCCTTTTGTAGTCGATAAAACGATTGGAATAAAAAACTCCATTTGACAAAATTCATAGTGTTTTTGAGTGTAGGGCGCGTTCGTTAAAAATAGGGGGGAAAATATACAAAATTTAAAAGACTATTTATTTTTTTCAAATAAGAAATCACCTTGTGCTTAGGGAAAAGTATTCGATGGGAATTATTAATTTAAACATAACTTGAAATAATTAAAACAACTAGGAGATTTCGACTGATTCATGCGATAACATGAGTTCGTAAGTCAAGGAGCCATAGGTAGCGATTGAAATGACTCCTTATATGACATTAATTCTTTAAAGGATTCTAAAAGCGAAGTTATGCTTTATTTTACTTAAAAAAGACTTGAGAATTATCTAGATAAAGGCTTTAGACATGTCAGGAACACACACACACACACAAGACAAATAGCAAGCACAAAAAGAGAATGGAACTGCTTAGGCCCCCTATTTTAGATATTCCAGCGGATCAAGAATGAACTCAAGCTAATACTCAAACAACCTGTAAACCCAAAAGAAAGAAGACCTGGAGTGATTTGCGTAAAGATGTGATAAATCGATGGTATGACATTAAAATGCGACAAAATTCTGATCAATGGAAAATTTCAGCACAACTATTTGCATTCAAGTGTAAAGGGTCAACTTTTAGCAATAATAAGTTACTAGTTAAGAAGCAAAATATAAATTACAGCGAATCCATGTAATGCCAAAGAATAGAAAGCAATTAATTAGTAAACCTAGTTGAAGTATAGTTACTTTTTGGGGGCGCATCAATTGAGTAGAACAGAAAACCAGTCAGAAAATAGGGAATTCTGAGGGCAATAGAGGAATACGTAAGTTCATGTAAATGACGATTTCAAAGCTAAACCACATCAGACGAACCATATATGCGAAAATAAAAGTAAAAGGTACCAAAATAGAAAGAGAGTTCGGGGTGGATAATATGGGGAATGATTGGTGAAACACCTCTTCAAATAACTTAATTTGATCCGTATGCTTGTATACTACAACAGTATAAAACGCGATAGAATTCATGACTAAATACGTATGAAATTCTCTGCTGTTATCGTATCCTAAAGGTGTATATTTAAAAAAAATGTTTTTTTTTCACGATAAAATACGTTAAAATATTGATCGTGTAAGCCATTAAAATTGTAAGAAGGCAACGCTTTGACGAATGAATTAAGTAAAAACTATATAATTACAAAATAGGCGTGAAAAAGTCAGCAAACTCCTGGTGCAAAAAAGCACACACCCCAAGCTCCCAAGAAATAACACAAACAGAAATATTGGGTTTAGGGGAAGGATTTTAAATGCAGAAGAAAAAATAACAATGACAATTTTTCAATAAATTTTCCTTATTGGAGGGGGAAATTACGAAGGAAATGATATAACATATTTAAAAAATAAAACAATTATAATTCGCCAAATAAACTCTAAATTGACAGACGCATACGGATTTCAACGCCGGAGTAATAACAAATTTGGTCTATTTTTTTCAAGTACAGTGCATGAAAGTAAGTTTCCTCAATTTCTCCATTTATTGAGTATTCCTCAGATCGAATTTAAATACAGAATTACTTCCTCCATTGAGTTAAATCCATTTAAGATTAGAATTAAGTTTGAGGGAGTTTTAATATGCCATGGCTGTGTTGACCTGTTATCTTGAAAATCAAAATAAATATCTCGTTACCCACATGGCGAAGACCTTTAGAACTCACTCAATTTAGGAAATTCACTTTCTCACGACATCGGTAGAATCCGAACTAAGTTCAATCAAAAAAAATGAGAAACCGTGAAATCTAAGCCCCAGTCGAGTGATATTAAAATCTGAAGCGACGCAGGAACAAGTACCTACACACACAAATCCTGATTTCAAGATCAATTAATTAAATCCCAATTCACTGCATTCCTACCCTGATTCAATGCCCCATTAACATCTACGCGCTCTCATGGCCTTTGCATAAATGGACTAAATAAAATTAAAGGCCTAGAACACACAACAGGGAATATAGCAACACCAATACCTTTCTTGGATGCAAAGGTAGTGAGTAGTCACCAGTGAAGATCGTTCAAACGCGCATGAATTACTAAATCTCAATGTGGAATTCAACTATGTTAGGAATTACGAGATGGATGTTCACCAGTGCCAATGCACTGAGCAGAATGACCAACCGCATTGGTCAATTCTAAAAGTAGACAGACACGAAATTTATCAACGGAGGAGAGAGGCTTCAGAACATCTGCCTTCTACCCAAGTCAAGTGCAGATGACATTTTTCATATTGGGCCCGGGATGGTTTTTCGCCTTTTTCAATGGCAGATTTTGGAGAACTTACGAAAATATGAACGAAGTAGTAGCTAACTAGTCGAATTTCGAACTGTAATTATGGCTCGATCTCTCCCTCTCCTCACCCCCTCCTTTTCACATCTAGACACCAGATCTTCCCTAATTGAAGTGAGGTGAGAGGGGGTGATGACCAACTAGTCTCTTCCAAAGATATGGTAGATGTGATAGGGAGATAAAGAGATCAAAGTGTGGAACAGAGGACTGTTGCTCGCCAACCGACTGAAAACAAAAAATTATAGGTGCTATGAAGGGAGGGAGGGGTTGGGGGAGAGAGGGGGGACAATTTCAACGCCAGTTAAAAGGTTCGCGCCCAATAGTCAAATGCTAGGAGGGCATTTGGCCTCACATCGTTTCTCAGCAATCATACAACTGAAATTTGCAATGCTAAAAATAATTAATTAAAAGGAGATAGTTATATGGTCATCCCAGAATCCGAATTTTAATGTGGTCTTCGACTTATCTTGGGCAATAAATATCTCAAGGAATCCAGCCAAGTTCGACGTGGCTTTTTATTTCCTCAGCAATCAAGCATATTTAAAACGTTTTATATACAAGAAATAAAATAAATTGCGTGGAAAATGCAGACAGCTTAGTGTATTGGCGACGTAGCAATCATATCCATTACAGTCTCCTAAGACGAAAAGTGTTCCATATCAACCCATTTTAATGCTTTTAAAGCTGCGATGAAAAAAGAGAAAACATACAGCATAAATGTAGTAATTGATATGGGTTCGAAACCTATCGTCAAGCCTCCATCAATCATAATGATGAACAAATGAAAACTTACGATGGAAAAGTCAACAGCCTTTAAGGAAGCTGAAAGAGGCCAGTACTTAAATTCGTAAAGCCAGAAAAGGTTAATGCTTAATTATAACAAACATCGACCCCACATTAAGCTCGCAATGATGAAATCAAAGCATTTCCCAGTAGATAAAAAGAGCTCCAACTGCTAAAAACACATCCAAAGTGGAATTTCAAGCCCGATAACTTCCGAGAAAAAGAGAATACGTGGTAACCGCATTAGCTGCACGAAGAGATAACCATCCCGATCTCCACAAAAAGGGAGCATATGTTAGTCAGATAAAAACCCTACGCAAATGCACGAATTTTAGGCCTAGTTGACTACTCGGGGCCTTCTTTTTTTAATAATTAGCACTGTCAGAAAAAAAGGAAGCAGCAGATCACGGAAGATCGATTTGCTAGATATTAACACTGACGGAAAATTCGAAATGATACTCATAAAGTACAATTTCAGCCGAAATTAAGCACGCTTATAAATAATTCAAAGTGGAATCCAATTCAGCAAATTTGTCCTCAACAGTTTTTTTGGAATAAGCTTTTTCAGAGTCTCAAAAAGGCGAGGGGAAAGATTCCTCTGGGGCGCATAGAGAAAAAAGTAGGGGTGACAACGGTTATTTGAGGTTTTTAGGGAGAAGCGAAAAAACGCTTTTCCAACATGCAACTGGGGAATGTGGACAAGCATTTCGAAACAAAAAAAATAATTGGGAAAGATCAAGGAAGGTAGTCCTCGTGTCAAAATATTCTTCCATGGTAGACCTAATCAAGCCTTTGGAGAGCAAAGTGTGAAGATCTTCAAAAAAAGGAATCTAATATTCCCAAACCAGTAACATAAATTGGAAGAAAACGCCCACCAAGAATAAAAAAATCAATATTGAGAAAAGCACTGCTTTCAAAATGCCCAGTTTAAATCTGTCTAACTTTTATCTAGATATCCAGATAAATTAGGGCTAAACACAACCGAATTCCCGACAAAGTACTGGGTATAAACATTATATATCGCAGATACTATAATTGATAAATCTCAATCAATATCTAAGATGTTGAACGATAACGAGGACAAAAATAATGGAACAAGAATGTAAGTCCTTTTTTAATTTTAAAAGGTTTTAATCCCCGGACCGAATGTAGGGTTAAAGTTAACAATAGAAACACTCATAAAATAAATCTAACTCACTTCACTAAGGCAATCTTCATGAAAAGCATTCGGACAACCTTCGCAACAAACAAGTTCCCCCTCTTTGCCACATATAACGCACCAAGCAGTGTTAGCAGGACGGAGGAAGAACTTAAGGATGGACAACTCCGCATCAGAAACGAGGACTTTTCGAAGAGCCGAATGTTCATAAAGATTGAGCCCTTTGTGTTCATTCTCTGCAGCGGCACTGTCAGGTGTCCCGTGTTGGGAAGATGTTATCTTAAGCAAGCTCTTGGGTGGACGAGCCAGTGCATGTCGAGGGCAAATAATCCAGTAGCGGGAAAGCTATCAAAACAAAACAATATATTTATTTAAGGCTACTCAAATTTAATGAGTAAACATGAAAAGTTTTAGCAAATAGTTGGTCAAAAAGGCTGTAAAATCTATACCACGAAATAACTAAAAGTGGAATTGTGAAAAATTAGTATTTGAACAGTCACAGGAGGAGGAGAGTAAGTAATTCCTCTATCCAAATGTGGAAACCTCCATCACATTGGAACAGCGAGATTAAAATGACCCTATCATCCAATAATAATAGTCTACAAGGAGATGAACGAAACGAGTGTCCAATAGGAAGTGTAATTGAGCTTTTGCCTTTATAAAACAATTTCCCCCACCATAACTGAAATTTGATTGCCCAGGTTGACAATGGAACTAAAATGTCTCATGCGCAAAATAAATAATTACAAATTTATTCTTAAACCATCAGCTGTTTCTAAATTTAAAAAAATTATTTCGGGAATGAATCGGTTTTAAATTCCTCGCCTGCTAAAAAATGATGTAACCCTAATTTACTCAACCAGAAAAAGTGTTTCACTTTTGCCTTTTAAAAGCGAAATATCATAGTCACACCTACAGATAGCTAATCTGAACTCTAAGACAGACATCTGTGAAGTTTGGAAATTGAGCTACCCAAATAGTCAATACTGTACAAGAATGCAAAAATTTATTAATTAAAACATAATATTTTGGCAGGGGGGTGTACGATAGACTTACCTCCACGTGGTGCACCCTGGACAACGTATACTCATACGGCAAAGTCTATTAATCGGCAGCTGACTTCTTACTTCAAAATACCATGACCCGACTGTATGTCATATTTGACTACTTCCACAGTACTCAACTCACCTTTTTCTCTACCTTTGCCTGCCTCTTTTACATCTGTGAACCATTATTCCGTGCCCCATCCCGACTTTTTTGACACTTTGATGCTCATCCTCCTCTGTGTAAAGCCCAAAGTTATCTAAAGGGCTAATGATAGCTATCAAAACGCCTCCCACTTAAAAAATATATTGCCAGGTGCTCTCATAGGCCTTTCGAATTCCTCCCTTACCCCATCTCCATTTTTCACTCAATAGACTTTCGGGTATTACCATTAGGCACCTCTACCAATTAGTAATTATCATTTTGTTATACTGTGGGTATAAAAGTACTAGCATATTTAATGTAACCATTAACTTCGGGATTCAAAACTATTCACTGCACCGAATTCATAAAGAACTAATAGAAAAATATTTTAATATAATAATAGTAGCAAAGCATTTTGATCCGGAGCTAATCAAAAATCCGAACTTGAATAGAACATCTAGTAAAAAAGCAAAGCTGATTTTGAATTAAAGATCGTTAAAATGAGGGCAAACTAACCCAAATAGATCCAGCCGGAATACACCACTCATCTGAGTGATAAACCGATGGACAGAGAGCGCATGAGATGAAAAATCTCGTTGCATACGACCATATTCCACGGTTTTCCACATAACACGTCAGGCATGAATGTGCAGGACAAATGAACTCATCTCGGCGACCTTCCCGAACCAGATACTCGTACATCGGTAGTCGAAGACAAGTATTTCGATGTAAGCGTCTGAAGCACGTACTGCGTGAGCAGATGCCCAGGATAGTGTTGTCATTTTTACCATTGGCAATTGGCTCCACCTCCTAAAATGAAGAGGATATCGTAAATATAAGCCCATAGGACTATTAACTGGACAAAATATTAAACACTTACGAGGCAGTGGGAACATTGATTAACTCGTGCGGTGCAAAATCGGCACAACACATCCTCACCCGACTCATTCTGCAAGAGACAGGACTCATGAATGAACCGAGGGCAATTATTTGAGCACTTAACAAGCGGCCTATTGCAGAGACTAAGGTCGGATTTTGCAAGAGATCTTGCCATAGTTGCCTGCGTCTTTGAGTAGGTTTTGACGTGATCATTTGTCAAGGGGCCAGAACTTTTAAGATCTTTGTTGTCACTGGCATTATTGTTGCTCTCGGTGATGGATTGAGGTTGGTCGTTCTCATCACCAGCGTCATCACGTTTGGATTGCTTCTTTTCATACCAACCAGGTTCGAAGCACTCAGAACATATGTACATTGCTGATGGGCGCCCAGCAAATACATGGAGTAGATCTTCATATGCATGTCCATCTCGTGGAAGAGTAGTGATCTGCACGAAAGAAATCAGGTAATCAGACGAAAATTTTGCAAGTAGAGTTAGTCTTGTGGATGCCTAAACTAATGAATGACATATTCATGTCTAATGAATACCAAATAATTGTCAAAGAAATTACGTTTTCTACTTTAAAATAAATGTTAATAACGTTTAATTTGGATAATATGAAAGCACTTAGGAGCACAAAGCTAAGAAAGTAGCATTGCATCCCCTTTTTCGTTAACCTATTGGGATTGACCATCGACATGACTGCATTTGAACTGATGAGTGCCCAGCACGCTTTGTTAGTAGATGACTTTAACAGCCCTTGCCTCAAAAAAAACAGAGAGGGCTGGCATGTTTTGAAAAACATTCCAGTTTAAATATCTTGGAAAAGAATACCCCATTAATTGACACGTTCGGGAGATTACTCACGTCACAAAGTTAAATGCCGGAAATAACAAAAACGTAACCACCTTTTGATATGCAAATAGAAAACTACCAGTAGAATTTCCCTTACAACAATATAGACGACAAAGGAACCAACTTTGAGATACATTACATTAAGTACCAAATTTGATCAGATTCAGTGTTTTATTGATATTAGTAAGCCAGCAAAAAAAGATAATCAAAAGGCAGTGAATAACAATCAAATTTTGCTCTACTTAACAAAACCCTGTTCGAATCAATTCCGCATAGTTGAAAAGTTGATTGGCTTTCAGAAGCAAACATTAACTCCCAAATTCATCTAAGAACGCTACTTTTGGCACTTATGTAACTCGAATTTTACCATCTCCTGTTTAAGACAGACTAAGCCGACGTGGTTGGTCATTTCGTACACTGCTTGTGTATAGATAGTCTTCAAACCCAAAGACTAATTTCACATATCAGTACAATAACTAATTAGATTTCGATTTACAAAATCGGGGCTACATCGAGTAAGCAAGTGTGATATGGAAAGGTAAATATACCAGTTAGTACGGGAGGGAGGTAATGAGATAAATGTTTATAGAACTATTCAATTTAAGAACGGTTGTGTAAGGCGTAGCAGAAATGTATTTTCTATGGCACTATATAGCAGGTTTGAAACTAAATACCAGCAGACTAGCTATACCCAAAAAACGCATTTTCACGCTTATGATAAGTAATTGAATGTATTAACGTTAAGGGACACTTAAAAACGCAATACTAACCTGATGTCCGCTAAAAGTTCTGATTCGGGCAATTTCAGTCCTCTGTGAGACATTTTCAAGAGGAATAAGAATCTCTGTTCGTTTCGCATCCTCTTCCTCCCAGATTTTCTGATATTCTGGAAGCGACAATCCTAGCTGAAGCATTCGTTCAGCAAGAGATGAGGCGGTCAACTGTTCCACAAGAAAATATATTTTCCTCGCCCTATTCCAATAGGGTTCCTGGAGGATAGGAATTTGAAATTGGGAAATGCGATACAACTGCTTGTGGGATAAACTGATAGAAGCTTTCATGAAGTCATCGAAATCTTGTTTAGTCTTGAGACCACGCAAATTTCTATCTTTAACATAGAATGATCCATTAAATGCAAGGTGGTTTGGAGGACATATGAGTAAAATCCGATAAGCCACAACATCATGTCCCCTCTTTGTTTTCATGAGGAAAGGAGTTTTATCGATTACAACTGCGGGCCACCACGGGGTACCGTACTGAGCTGGAAGGAGAGCCCAAACAAGGGCACCAGGGGAGGGATTAGTAACTCTCCAGCGTCTTCCAGGAGATTCCGATCTATTTCGAGATCTAATTCGTTTGGTATACCGATATTTGGAGGCACTGCTAACTTCTGAGTAACTTGATTCATCCGAAACCTCACTCAAGGCATCAGAATCATCCTCATCTGAATGAGCACCATCTGAATCATGTACACATCGGTCAAGAAATGGAATTTTGTTAAAATTTTCTAGGTATTCATCAATGAACTCCTCATCAGAGAGATCATAATGTGGAGTCGAAGGATTTGAATCCGCAATTTTTGGAGAAAAAATCACTTCATTGCTCCATTGAAAATTATAATTATGTCTAGACGATAAAGAGGTCCCAAGTAACTCCTCACTTCCAGAATCAGATTCTACCAAATATTTTTTAACTATCTCACGAAATTTTTTCTTCGGTTTTTCGGAATTCTCTTCGGAGGGATCCATTTACAAAAAAATAGTGTTAAGATCCTAAAAGTAACCAAGAAACCCGTTAGAAAAGTGAATACTATTAAGCGCAAGCCACGAAAACAAAAGTCGGATAATATCAAAATGAAAAGTTTATTAAACAACATAGCTTTACAACTTTGACGGGACAATTTCGGGAAGCACGAAAGCTTTGCCCAATTTCTGAAACTCAGCTCTAGAGAAAAAGATAAAACACGACAAAAAATACCTTAGCGAATTCGAAAAATCCTCCTCCACGATGTCATCATCCCAATTGTCTTCCCAAAGTGAAACTTCGCCGTTATCATCGTTAGGACAAGCGGCACATTCTAAAAATTAAAATATACCTAAAAACAGTAAGCAAACCATCAGCAGGAAATTCCTCAAAATCATCGTCTGCCTCGAGAATCCCCAAGTCTACAATAGGCTTCGCCTTGATATTACCATTTTCTTCCTTCGAGTTTACAGCCATGAGTAATGATTACGCAGGTTAGTGAGCCTAATTATGAATCAACGGGAGATAGTTTGCATATGAGTTCTCGAACTTCATAATTATGCCTATTACAATTGTAAGTCAACTTATTCTAATTGGATTATCTTATTTATTTAAATCTTTTATCAATCTTATATATTATTATTAATACTTTACCGACAAAATTTCATTAAATATCAATATTTTAATCTACTAGGAATGAGGCTTTGGTAAATAGCTAGTTTAAAAAATTCATTCAATATGAAGGCGAACAATCCAACTCCTTAGATTTATATTTGGAGAATACCTTTAAATTTCTCTCATACAGCATGATTACACTTGTTTGATTAAGGAAATTTGAAATAAATTGATTCTATTTTCATCTAAATTTAAACGAGTTATGAAATGTCACTACCCCTTTTATAGATGATGTTCAAAAAATCATTTACAACTCAATTCGATCAAATCTTATATTAGTGATTTTCCTTCAGCTAATTCATCGGATTGATTTTAATCAAAATGAATCAATAATGTGTCATGTTCTCCAATAACGTATGGATCATATGCTATTGATATGCTTTCCTCAAATAGCTCGCACGATTCTGATAGGAATCAATAATTTGATTCGCAATTTTTCATTTAATTTAATGGGACTGATTTCAGGCTGGGAATTATTAAACCTCGGGCTTGAAATTATAACGCTTTTTAGCTATAAAAAATTCTGTAATGAGAATTACCTCGTTAAATAAAATTGAAATGTTGCTTAGGTTTTAAACAGATGGTTTATACGAGACAAACGTAGCAGTTTTATAAAACGAATAATTTAGCAATCTTGCTCTTAACCACCATTAGTTATCAGTTATTCACCATTGATGTGCAGAAATATGGACTGAAAACATATAAATGTCAGTTAAAAAGTTTAGTTCCACCAATGCCTAGTATGTTTAAAACTTAAAGAAATTTTCAAAGAAGTTGCATATCATGAATACAAATGCGAACGAGGTTAGCTTCATCAATATTACCTTACCCGAAGTCATTTATTCCATTCCAACGTTGTTCTTTATCCAGCTTCCATTGAGATTTAGTCAAAGAATTCCTTGCTTATAATCGCAATAATTTTCCCACAACCATTTACCTAAGTTTTTTATAAATAATGATTTTTAAATAAGAAGATCTGAATCTATTGATTTTGCTATCGAAAACTTCAGTAATTGATAACAGCAAACACGTAAAACTATCTTTGAGTGGAGTCGAAAGCTCAAGAGATTTGATTATGAAAAAAAACTATTACATTAATTTACTCTTTCGCATCTGTGGTCAAATAACAGATTTTCTAAATATTTGACTAATGTTAAAAAATGCAAACTTTGATTTGTTTCTTCGTCGGGGAAAAATAAGTGTTAGAAACTAAATATTAAGGAAAAAACCGAAAAGAGGAATCTAAGCAAACGAATGATGAATGAAAGAAAACGCAATCGATAATCTATACTTTAGGATACGGACACATTCTTAAAGATTGCGAACTCCATATTGGTAAGCCTGAGATCAGACAAGACGTAAATAAATGTAAATCGTCCTCATTAAACCTGTAAAGGAAATTAAAAATAGAATAAGATACATTTTTAGCAGTACAGTTCACCGAGTAAAACATGAAAAATGACAAAACAAACAAGTATATTTAGTACATTGAGCTCATCCAAGCTGATTTAACACATATAAATTTCTTTAGTGATATTACCAAAGATAAAATAAGTAAATCTAATTGAAGAAACACCGATGGGATGCTTAACTATCAACTAAATTGGTAGAGTAATTTTTTTCGGAAATAAGCATCACTGAACCCCACGTAAATGATTAAGGATTAATGAAAGGTTTGCTATCGGAAGTCTTTGATCCTGTCATTATTTATTACCCTAATGAACAATTTGGAAGTTCCTAAAATATTGTACACGATGTAAAGTTGATGGAAATGACTTTTTTAAATAAATTTTATTGGCCTGAGTTGGTTATAAAAGGCTCCCGATAAATTTATGAATACAAATTTGAAAACTTTATTACCAATTTAGATGTTAAATTACGCAGAAGAGCGAGAGAAGTTAAATAGATACAAAATTTTCCATTACAGCCAAATAAGTAAAAAATTATAAAATACGTTATTAACGGCAAGCAAAATGAAGAAATACTATAAACAGAGAATATATTTGCGAAAGTAAAATATTATAAGTTAATATATTGCTGTCAAGCAAATTACAACAACTATACTTAATTCTGAAATGTATGGTAATGAGCTATAACGGTATGATTAGAATTTTAATTATTACTAGATTTTTTCCAATATTAAATATTTTAAATGGGGTGAGCAATAGACTTATATCCATGTGGTGCCCTCTGAGCAACGTAAACTCATACGGCAAAAAAGTCTTTTATCTGGAAGTTGACTTCTGACTTCAAACTACCATCACCCCACTGTGTCATATTCGACTACTTTCAGAGTACTCAATACACCTTTTTCTCTACCTTGGCCTGTCTCTTTTACATCTGTTAATCATTATTCTGTCCTCCATCTCGACTTTTTGCCACTTTGATGTACCTTCCCCTCTGTGAAGTCTGAAATCAACTAAAGGGCGAATAATAACTATCGTAACGTCTGCCATTTGACATAAATAAATAAATATTTTAAAATTATTTCCTTAACCTTTACACAATGCCATCAGCATTTTCCGATTTTAAATTTATAGTTCAGAATTTCTTATTAGATATTATTTTGAAACATCAAATCTTATGTTTTCAACTATTTTATATGACCTTGGCTGTAAATCCCAATGGTTTGTTTAACATACACCATTGATTTTTTCATGTTCATTGAACCATTTAGGCGTTGTGATGAGTTACAGACGTCCCATTCCTCACAGAGTAAATCCTAGTTATGTTCCTCCTAGTCGTCATACCATTTTCATCCGTGGTCTACCCGGATCGACCAACGTAGATTCCGTCAAGTAAGGAAGCTCCTTACTTAATGTCTATATAAAATTAGGAACCACTTTTGTCAAGAAACTGATACAAAGTGCACAGTCGAGTTTTTCTCGACATCCGATGACAAAGTTAAGTTCTCCGTTGCGATTAGGTTTAAAAGCCATGAACTTGCACGAGAGATGCTTACAAGGTAATCAGGTTCTTCGAATGTATGTTTTTTAGATACAATGGAAAGGAATTATTCGGTCACCCTATTGAAGTTACCTGGTTCAAAGATTTAAAAAAAGCTAGAGCTCGAGGTATAAATAAATATTAACTTCTATTATTTTTCATAGCATATGAAGAACAGCGTCTCAATAGATTTCGTTCAGTCAGAGGATTTCGAGGAAATCGGAATTATCAGGATCGCAGAATTCATGGTTATTCACCAAATCATGGGAGGGAGCGGTCATATTCCGGAGGTCCACCTTCAAACCGTCGTTTCAGTAGGGGAATATCATGTTCTTCTCATTGCTCTTCCCGTTCGCATTCTGGATCTCCTAAACGGTAAATGCATCCCGTGTTAATTAATAAATTTTAGAAGGCTGTATGCTCCAAGTGCCGTAAACGATTCTATTCCTGACCGCAGACGTTCTAATCGGAGATCTCGTAGTGCGTCATCTCGTTCCCGTTCGTCTTCTCGTTCTCTGTCGAATCGATCTTATCAAGCGAATCATGCTGCACCTGAAAGGAGATCTGGGCAAATTAGATCGCCATCTCATTACTCAAACGCCCCAGCGCCTACTTCTCAACAAGAACATGACGATAATAACCTTCTTAATGATCTGATCCATCTCCAAGCTAAAAACGTTAAATGTAAACCGTCACGCTATCGTAATTCTCGTTCCCGTAGTCGGTCTGGTTCATCAACTCGTTCTCAGTCTACATCAGCTCCTAAACGACAACAAAATCAGAGACATCGATCCCCTGTGTTGCCAAATTTAATTTTATCCAAGAATCAATCGCCAGAGAAAGAGTATGACCCATTTAAATAATTTTTTATCATTTGCCAGCACTATTTTAGTCTTACTCTTTAATTGGAAATAGATGGATAGTTGAATCTTGTTCGTTACCTAGTGTATCGGTATCTATCTTCTTTTTTCAAAATTAATTACTTTAGTTGATATAGAGTGACTTAGTGAGATTACCTATCTATATCCCTGCGTTGGTTAACTTTAATAAAGTAACAGTATCTCTTTTTTGTCATGTTTGCGGCTTATACTATTCAGCGTTTACAAAATCAGTACTCAAATTTTCACCATTACCTTTCATTTTAACTGTTATCTAACTTTTCTTTTCTCTCTAGTCAATCTTCACTACCAAATCTCTCCGGCTCCAACTGGCGTCCGTTAAATTTAACTGAGGAGTTGTCAACTGATGAACCTGAACCGCCAGCAAGATCTCTCTTTGCTGCTTATAGCGGCGGCAGTAACAACAACAACAGTGACAAACCCAGGTTAAATGGTGGAAAGATTATTCTTTCTCCTCTAGTGTCTCAAAAACGTTCGAATGAAAGATCTTTATCTGAGATTGATAACATTTCTCACAGTAGTTGTGAAAGAGAAAGAGGACGAAAAAGAAATGGAAGTGGTGATATGGCTTCTCCGATGGGTGTGGAAAATAATCATAGCTTTTCCTCAGGTCAACGGGAGAATTCTTCCCAAAAGTCAAAGGATGTTCTTATTCAGGAAAAGAAGGCGATTATAGAGGAGGTATGTTATTATTACCATTTAAAGTGCAGAAATCTACAAGTTTCAATCATGGGACAAGTTATTAAAGCAGCAAATAGCAAAGTTGTCGACTGGGTTAATATTGAATATATGGCATCAAGAGTCTCTTTTTGAATGATGAAATGCTATATATGGTTGTCATGTCCTGAATTTCGGATTAGTTCTTATCCACGGTATTCAATGCTTTTTGACAAATTAGTTCAGCTGAATGGCTGTTCAAGCCGCTTTGATTGAACTACACCTTCCTACATCCATGAACAGTAGATGGGTTTAGCAAAACATTTTAGATTTAACAGAGCTCTTGAGTTTGTCATGTTTTTTGTATTTTTTAATAAGCTATCTTAGATTCCCTGATTTAGAATATTTTATATTGTCATCACTTTTATAACACCTCGTTAGTTTCTAAATCGATAACTTTCTCTAATCTTTACCATCAGGTATACTAGAAACCCACTTAACCATTACCGCTTAACTTCATTTGCTGTTAGGTAATTATCAGCTGATCTTGATTGGCATGATCTAACATGTATTTGCTACACATCAGAAAACATTGTAATTGCTAACTAACTACTAGTATGAAAGTGATAATGGTTCTCACCTCTGTCTACTTTTTCATGCAATATTACATATTGAAAATGACTCTAACAGAGTAATGTTGAGATAAATGAAACTTTTAGATAAATTCTTTATTTTCGAAACTGTCGACTGAGCACGAGCTTTTCAATCAAGGAGTTTACATCCCTTTCCAAGGTTATTGTTGGAGTTCTTTTTTCCTCTTGGCTCTCACTATAGGAAACTGACTTCCAAACTCCCTAAATACTAACAACAAATAATCAACTTATTAGTCTAATGTATCCAGCTCTCATCGTGCGCAACTGCAATGCCAGAGGGTTCGAATTCAGTGGTTCGCGTCGGATGAACGCCATGACCTACTGTAGTTTTCACTGTTATTCAAGGGAGAATTGCTGAATTCAAATTTCTAAACCTCTAGATTGATTTCGGAGTGCATTGTAACACTGGAAGATTGACTTATCTAATTGATTTCCTCTATTTATTACAGGAGTATAAAAAGGAATGTGAAACGTTTGCTACTGTTGCAAAGGTATTCATCAGGTGCGTTCTACTCGTATTAATTTTTTCTTGTGTGTTTGAAGTGCTTTTTTGCATGCTCTACCATTTTTCTTCCATCAAAAAACTTCATTTTGCACTTTATTTCAGCCTCTGTTCTCTCATGGATTGGTTTTTATAATACCTGGATAATTATTTCCCTGCATTTCCACAGTGTCCCATACACTGCGTGCTTATGATTACGTGCTAACAGATTGAGAAAGAAGTTGTAATTTATTTGCAAAAGCCAAATTGTCTATATATCGCATTGGTTATTATTACCTCTTATATTGTGGTGGAGCCTTATATACCATAACATCTGTCTGAGTTTCGTTATTGTCTATTGGCTTATTTGAGAAACATCTGCTGGTGAGGCCCTATTTATTTAGCCCATCGATTAAATTGTCATTTGAATCAATAGGCATACGTAAGTTTACCTTAAGTGTGCTCTCTTTATAACTAATATATCCCACTCCCCCATGATAATGACTTTCATCCATCAAATGTTCCTAACATGCTTTCTTCTATCTCCTTCTAGCAAGGACGATACATTGGAAGATAAACTTCTGCCATTACTAAAAACGATTCTGCATGAAAGGGGCCAGCAGAGTGTTGAGGAATTGCGGCTTTACATTTACAACTTGGAGACTGTCAATGGAAGCGCTTGAAAGCAACAAGAGAGAACTTTACTGTATTACACAATTCAATAATCTCTTCTCTTATATCGCTGAAGTTGCTATTTTTTGCCATGATGATGTTGCAAGCATCGTTGCTGTTGTTGTTCTTATTTGGTTTTCTATTCTACTTAGTAAGGATACATTGTACAGTCATGGTAGAATATATATTTGGCGGTTTATTCTGTTTTATTTGAAAGGGGACTGTTTAAGTTAGATTTAAAATTTTGAAAAAAGGCGGTTTGGCTTTGTGGTTTTTTATTCAATTGAAATTGTATTATTCGTGTGATTGCATTGTGAAAGCGGGCGTAGTTCAGATCCCCTTGTAAGTAAATTAAGGTATTAACTTATCGAATTTTTGCCTTTGACGGATCATTTTATTATTTGGCATAGTTCCTATAGAGCTTTGTTAGCTTGTTCAAAGGGATCATTTTCAAATCGATTACTGAAGTAATGGAGATGTGGTCCTCTATTCCGAGACCAAGAGCAGATCCCCCTCCTGACTGGGTTTAATTGTGGGTGGTGGGCCATTGCTATTTTTACCGAAGCGCGTTGAGTCCATTGAAGGAAGTGAAAAAAAGCATTTGGGAAGAACCTTGAGCTACTCTTATTGGAAACTCACATTCCGCTATTCCCCTTGTTTACCAGGTTTATTCGGTGCGGTTGCCCATCCACATTTCATGTCAGCCGAATTAGAAACGCGCTTTCAAATAAATCATTGTAAGGACTATCGCTTAGTTTATGTGAGTTTCGTTTATGGAAATCTCTTGTTTTCAAATGCTAATTTATGAACTTAAATTGTCCTTAGTTTTATATCTAATAGGTGGAGTGTGCAATAGGCTTACCTCCACGTGGTGTTCCCTGGACAATGTATACTCATACGGCAAAAAAGTTCACAAACCGGCAGTTGATCTCTCACTTCAAACTACCATGACACGACTGTATATCATATTTGACCACTTTCACAGTGCTCATCTTACCCTTTCTCTGCCTTTGTGCCTGTCTGTCTCTTTTATATCTGTGAATCGACTTTTGTCACTTTGATGTTCCTCCTCCCCTCTGTGAAGCCCGAAGTCAGCTAAAGGGCTAATGATAACTATCAAAACGCCTGCCATTTGAAATAAATAAATATCTAATAG